CTAGCTAGTGTTTGCACAAATTATTTGGTACAGTTACAAGGTACCATACAAATAAATGGCACATTTTACAACTAGCAGCACCAGAGGCATATAACTCCTGTCAAATAGGATAACATCTATTTACTCCGATAATTGCGCTTTGATTGAATGCTTACCACAATACACATATCATGCCAAAATATAACAGGTCCTAACTCTCAAGTATTGCTATAGAACAACACTAACACTAATTTGACTCATTGAACCCTTCAAACGCCAACACACACACAATCAGGCTCACCCCCGAACAAAAGAAAGATAAACACTGCTTGGCAACCGCCTCGTCTTAGAACATCTAATACTGTTCTAAACTCATCTCCCAAACTACAAAACTCAAAAGCCCAAAGCAACTGAGGACGCATAGAAACCAAGGCTGGTCCTAAAGAGTACCAAACTAAAGAGAAGTTTCTTTCGACAATGCCATCCATACAAATGTTTGAGTGCCGCGGAATAGGTGAGGCGTTCAACAGTAGAGCCCTAACCTGATCTTGAGGTCGTGGCTGACGCATTCAAAGGTGTTGACAAAATCCCCTTCCTTGATAGGATCGGTTCCCTCGTCGGACAGCTGCTTATGTGCCTGATTTACTGGTCCGAAAGGTGTTGACGAAGTCCCCTTCCTTGATAGCATTGGTTACCAACTTCGTGGTTTCTACTTTCTAGGCATATGAACGAAAAACACGTCTCATTATAATATTTTGTACCAGTACATACATGTTGACTAGCAATACCATTAATTTTCCTATTAATATGTTGTTCATTAATACATATGTAAATCTGAGTACTATTTCATATTAAGTTGCCTATAAATTTATCTGTCTAGTTAATTATCATAGAGGAGGTTTAAGAGACGGTTTTATGTTGTTCATTAATACATATGAATTTAACCAATGGCTTGATCAGTTGTCTGAGGCATCGCAAACTTCAAGCAAGATTTCGTTTCCCTAGCATATACTGCTGTTTCTCTCCATCCTTAGGTCCATGCCACTTGCAACAGAAAATGAGCAACAGTCATGGTTAAAAAGTGCATCCGGAGCTTTGTGTGACGACAATGTGATCTTTTAGGTTTTTATAGAGTACATATGCAACGTGTGTGGAAGTTTACTACTGAATGCTTGCATGCTGTCCGAAATCGACAAATCATACATGTTTATTCTGCTATGTGATGAACAACTTGGTTATATTTACGCTAGTGTAGCAAACAGGGAGATACCTTCATCAAAGGAAACTCCCTCGCATTCTTCTTAAGTTGGAACATGCCAAGGCCTTCGATTTGGTTTCTTGGTTGTTTCTTTTGAAGGTAATGCAACACCAGGGTTTTTGGCCTATCTGGTGTCACCTGATCAGTGCCTTACTCTATACTTCATTTACTAGAGTTTTGCTAAATGGGATGCCCAGAGAAGAACTTCAGCACCAAACAGGCCTCTCTCCCCTATGTTGTCTGTTATTCTGTCCTAAATGCTATCATTCGAAGAGAAAGTGATGCTGGTCTCCTGCAACCACTTGCCCTCGCCCACTCTGGCATTGAGTTTCTCTCTATGCAGATGAAGTGATCTTGTTCTTGAGACTGGTTGCCTCAGACATTGATCTTATTTTGGAGATTCTCCGTGTTTTTGGTGTTGCTTCAGGTCTGAAAACTAACATTCAGATGAGCAGTGTCACCCCCATCCAATCCTCCGAGGAAAACATGAATTTGGTGCAGCAGCTCATGCCTTGTGAAATCAAGGAGTTCCCCCTTCAAATATCTCAGTGTTCCCCTCTCCTGAGGCCTTGTTCGTTTAATCCTCCTCCCAAGGGGATTGGAGAGGATTTTGGCTTGTAGGGGATCTAATCCCCCTCAAACCCTGCCATTCCCCTTCAAAAACCACCTCAACCGAACAAGGCCTGAAGGAAATTGGCACAAGTGGAGCCCTTCATTGACTGTATTGCCGATCTTATGCCGGGATGGAAGGCTGACCTCATGAATCGGGGATTTTAGATTGGTCCAAGTGGAACATGCCATGACCTCCACGTGGTCTGTCTTACTATTTCCCTTGATCTACCCCCGTGCACCATCAAAGAGATTTACAAAATTAGGCGGGGCTTCCTTGGAGAGGTAGAAAAGAGGCAAATGGTGGACATTGCTTGGTTGCCTAGCCTAAAGTTTGTCACCTTAAAGAGCTCAGGGGTGCTTGGTATCCATGATCTAAAATCCTTAGGATTGGCGCAGAGGATGTGATGGTTATGGCTGCCCAAGACACAACCGGATAAGTCATGGGCTGCTTTCTCTATACATGTTCATGACTCAGTTAGCCGGTAATCCCTAAGCGAAGAGTGGACAAGTGGACCATGAAGGAGGCTCATTTGGACAATAGGTGGATGCAGGACATTGTTGGCGACCTCATGGTCGCAGCCCTGGCTGAGTTCTTGCACATTTGGGAGTTGATCTCGGTTGTGCAGCTGCCACCGGATGTGCAAGATGAACACGGAAATTCACAGAGTCCGGACAGTTCTCAACCAGTTCGGCCTATAAGGCCTTATTCCATGGGCTGTTTATTTTCAGCCATGGAAGCTTATCTGGAAGTCTTGGGCGACAAAGAAGTGTCAGTTTTTCCTCTGGTCAGCAGCGCACAATAGATGCTAGACTGCCGACAGATTAGCACGAAAGGGTCTGCCCCACCTGAGCCAATGACGTCTTTGTAATCAAGAGACAGAGACAATCTAACACATTTTGACAAACTGTGTCTTCTCTAAACAAGTTTGGTGCATCATCTTCTATTGCTCCGGTTTACCAGACTCCTCGCCACACGCCAAGAATGATGTGTTCTGTGCTTGGTGGCTGAGAATCAATTCTTTGACTCTGGGAAACTTCAAACAGGGGCTTAACTCACTGATCACATGCGGGCATGGATGTTGTGGAAGCATCAAATGACTGTGTGTTTAATGGTGCTACATCGAGTGCCTAGCTGGTGCTTAGACGAATTTGGGAGGAAGGACACCTCTAATGCATGGCCGGACCAAGGGGCTTGGTGCAGCTGTTAGCTGCTGCCACCTAATGGTAGTTTTTGAGGTAGCTCAGGTCATTTTGTTTTTGTAACAGGCACGTGTTTTCCCTGTTCTAGCAGTGGGGGGTGAGTGGGGTGTGTCAGGTTTTCCTTGTAAATATTTTCTTTCTCCTTAATGCAATTATACAGAGGCCTCATGTGTATTCGAGAAAAAAAACTTGGCTATATTTCATCTTCCAAACTTGCTTTCCGTTTCTCATTTTGTCAACATACGTCATGCATGTTGTTCCTCTAATTGCAGATTTTTTTTGTTGAGCTACATACCCATGAAAAACATGCAACTATTTCTTGCATGGGGCGGGGCCTAGGTTAAGAACCAATTACCTACTCCCTCCCTCCGAAATTATTTGTCGCATAAATGGATAAAAATGGATGTATCTAGAACTAAATATATCTAGATACGTCCATTTCTCCGACAAGTATTACCAGACAGAGGGAGTAGTTGTTTTTGTGTTTGGAGATGGAACAGGATTTGAATTCTACTACCAAAATAACCTTTTTTTACTGCAATTCTTTAGGGGGGGAGGAGGTAAAATTCTCCATAGGGTGAAATATGCAGTTGACAAAAGAAAGATTGGAAGGAGACAGGAAAACATGGTTTTTAAGGCGTCCCTAAGGTGTCGCTTAGGCGATGCCTAAGCGTCAGGGTGCTCCCTGGTCACAAGGCGACGGCCTTGCCTTAGTCATGTGTCTACGGCGTCCACTTTAACTCTTAGGGCGTCCAAGTCATCAGCCTAGGCGCCATTCTGCCCGCCTTAGATAAATCAAGACGCCTCAGACAGGGGCTGGGGCTTCAGGCAGGAAACAGAGTCCAGCGTGGGAAGAAAAGGGCGGGAACTGTTGGCGCGGAAGAGAGATCGAACCCCTCTCGCGTTTCAGTCCACACGAGGGATCTCCTCTCTTGACCTTTGGCAGCAGCTGGAGCTGCAGATTAGATGTAATGTGAAATAAGGCATCAAAGGACAGAAGGAAACGACACTGAGCCACCTGGACCATATTTAATTAGCGCAACACTCTGGGAATCAAGCCACAGATGCTTCACGGAGTTTAGGATCCAGGTGGCCATCCTGGCTAGTGGCTACTGATGATTACCTTGAGGAGTTGTGGTTGAGATCTAGAAAACCCTTACCAAAGATCATCAAGAAAGAATTCGACTCGGTGGTCATCCTCATTGTTTGGAAACTTTGGAAACAGCAGTGATCCATCCCGGCTCTTGTGATTCACATTCGTGATGAACTCCAGACTTGGATGGCTGCTGGAGCAGTGTGTTTACAAAATTTTGTGACGAAGTAGCTTCTTAGGCTTGTGGTGTGGTGTTGACCTGTGGCATTGGTTGCAATGTGAAGAGGCTATTCTTGTAACACACTTAGCTGCCTCCCATATAAATATGGTATGCATTTTGTGTACTTTCGAGAAAAAAAAAGGCAGTGGGGTGCGGAGACCAGGTGACACTACTTTTAGTATGTATGGGTCGTCATGGACAGCACATTTCCCTTTTTAGCTGTGCGCTTGGCCAATCCATCCAACACCCAGCCACTTGCTAGACAGGTTTTAAACCCAAAATTAAATGGCCCCTTAAAGAATGATGATGTAAATTCAAGAGATAAGTTCTATTGAGTTCCAAGTCCCACACAAGACTGTTACTTCGCACATACAGAAGCACATGAACATGGTCTGTGTGGGTAATATGACTGTCTAGGGGATATTGCAATGCCACTTCTTTGACAAATCACCCCATACCAGTGAAAAATCATACAGAACCTAATGAACAATGCAAAGCTCAGTGGAATTCACACATTTCACCACACAATGGTGCAGTCCTGGCACCGACAATGATCTCAATAAAGTAAAAAATATACAGTACATTATTCGGACTCACCTTCTCTGAAGGTGAAGCACCATCAACATTGCTATCAGAGGTCAAAGGTTCCCAGCATCATCTTTGCGGGTTGTACCCTTCGCCGATTCTTCATTAGGTGCCCTCTTAGGAACATCACTAGGAGAATCTTTGGATAGCAAGGCACATCCATGTTTGTTGAGTGTGCTACACCCTCGAGAGCACCTTCTCCATAACAAGGAGCCCTAGGTGAAAACAATGGTGTAAATTTTCAGTCTATAATTTTAAGGTTAGAAATAACATAAGGCCATGAAAGTTTTGTGGCACAGCTACAATTGTTCCATCGTCCGTTTTAATGACCCAAGGTGCTATGTTCCGTTCTAACAACGGGCTACTGTTTGCACAAATTATTTAGTACAATTACAAGATACCATACAAATAAACGGCACATTTTATAACTGGCAACAGCAGAGGCATATAACTCTTCTCAAATAGTATAACATCTATTTAATCCAATAATTGCACTTTGACTGAATGTTCATCAGAATACACATATCATGCCAAAAGATGACAGGTCCTAACTCTGAACTCTGAAGTATTTCTATCGAATAACAATAACACTAATTCGACCCACTGAACCCCTCAAACGCCAACACACACAATCAGGCTTGCCCCCGAACAAAAGAAAGACAAACACCACTTGGCAACCACCTCGCCGTAGAACATCTAATACTGCTCTACACTCATCTCCTAAACTACAAAACTCAAAAGCCCAAATCAACTAAGGACAAATAGAAACCAAAACCTAAAGAGCAACGAACTAGAGAGAAGTTTCTTTCGACAATGCCATCCATACAAATGTTTGTGTGTGGCTCCGAATAGGTGAGGCATGCAAGAGTAGAGTCCTAACCTGATCTTGAGGTTGTGGCTGACGCATTCAAAGGCGTTGACAAAAATCCCCATCCTTGACAGCATCTGTGCTTATAGTGCTTGTCTAGTTGGCCGAGCAGAGTCAGGTCGCGACTTGCCAGGTCATGCTCCACGATGGACGCACTGTCCCCGTGGACATGGAGAAGAGCAGAGACCTGCCAACGAGAACGCTGGAATGTTGTGTGAATTCCATGGAGAACTCGCCTTCGCAGAGCATCGTGGTCAGCTCGCCCCAGCAGCCAGCCTGAGCATCTGCAGAGCAGTCAAGTAGAAAATATTTGGTTGTCTAGAACATATATTTTAGAGCCATCCATAGGATCCTTTTAAATTCGAAGAAAACATCAATAGAATCTAGCAAACTTAAGAGATAAATTAGTACAATCATCAAAACGACTAATCACAATGTGACTTCTTCCTTCACGTTTTATGCATCTTTCAATAGTAAAGTGCATCGAGCAAGCTTGTAACATTTTGTGAATCTTCCAAACATAAAGTATATTCAAACATAAGCAGCAGCAGTGGATACTTACGAATTGGAGGACTTAGCAGGCATGGCCCCCTCCACCATGAACAGGTTGGCCGTTTGGATGTTTCACTTGAGCAAATAGTCATGGATGTGCACATCACGCCTGCAAGACCCGCCACCAGAAATTAACCGAAGTAGAACAGCAAGAAAAAGTAGCAAAAGCATCCCAAAAACACATAAAGATAACTCACATCATGTCCATAGTCCGCTTCCCAATTCCTCTGCGCCATTCTGCAACCACAACAAACCTGGGAAACCAAAGAGAAATCAGCACAGGAGCCAAGCGAATCGAGCAGGAAGTGACGGGATCAGAGACTTAGCGATCTGATTGCTCTGCTGGTTGTCGTCTCCTCCCTTGTCGCCACGGCCACCCTTGTTGCTGTTGCCGAGGAGGTCAGGTTGGACACCTGCCATGCTCCTCACCGCTGTCCCTGAGCACTTCACAAGGAGAGTTCCAAGCCTCACACCTCCTTCCTCCCGCTCTGCACATCACCCTCAGCTACCAACCTCGTCCCCCCAGCTGTGATTATTTCAAGATGATATCGACATGCGATTTCTCTCACATGGAACAGATGGTACATGTTCAGAATTCAGTCTGTCTCACTAATCTTTCAGCTACAAAGGCAGAAAAAATAAGGGCATGATCAATACATAAAGAAAAAACTGGAACAATAATGCTTGTAGTGCTAAAAAGCTGTGATAGTAACAATCGAGGACAAAAGGACAGTTATTTGTAACAAGGGCAAGCTTGATGGATGCAAAACGACTACATTCTGAAACTATATCTTTAAAACCAAATTACAAAGGAATAAAATTATCTAATAGAACATAAACATCATGTATCTTTAGGAACCAATTTTTAGAATCCTGGTCTATTAGCATGCCTAGCTGCCAATAAAGAATATAAGCAAAAGACATATAGACCTGTTTAAGCCTGTACGCATTTTTTATAGTGATACTGAACCCCTTCTGGTCTATCAGCATGATGTTTATGTTCTGATGCTCTATTTATAGCTTGTACAAAAAGGGGTTCAGTGTCACTATCAAAGATGCAAAAATGCGAAACCGACCAAAGAACATGTAGCATAGCTGAATGGGGAGATGATTCCTGACCTGCCGATTGAGAATCCTATACATTCGACCAACAAACTATCAGGAAGAGATAAAAGAACAGGGCAAGAAGGGATGCTGTTTCTGAAACAATATTTTTACCTGCTCCAAGGAAGGACTCTCCGGTGAATTCTGACCAAACTGATTTGCTTCCAATTGCCCCTCTTGTGCTACAGCGCTTCTTTGAGCTGAATAGAAAAACTCACCAGCCTGAAAGTTAAAAAGAAATTTAGGACAAATGTTACCATATATGGCGAGCATGGGAAAGTTGGGTTCAATTTTGCATGTTCTTATTTACTCCCTCAGTTCCTAAGTAGAAGTCTTTTTGGAGGTTTCCATTACGGACTGCATACGGAGCAAAATGAGTAATCTACACTCTAAAATATGTCTATACACATCCGTGTGTAGTCAGTATTGAAATCTCTATAAAGACTTATATTTAGAAACGGAGGGAGTAGTAAGGATGGCATGATAGTATTGCCAGCCCCCACCCCACCCCAACATCCACACACATATATGGTTCAGCTAACAGTTTATCTCTCAAGCCTCCCATGTGATACATGTCGAACATTGTCTCCCAGCATGGTAAAAAAGATACTACTGCCCATTCAATAACTGGTCTCAAGATCTTACTACTTCAACACACAAATCAAAAGTGATTAGCATAAAACATTTATGACACGTTTAACCCCACAAGATATGATTTGCACATGATACTAAACAGCTAATGTACGCCACACGATAGCCTTAGTTCTCCAAATTCGCAATGCCATCTGTGCGCCCCCTACCAGATCCTTCACGTTAACCAGCCAAACAGCACGCAGCAGGCAGATCCTCCACCTAAACCAGGCAAATAGCTTAAATCGATTGCAGGAGAATATGGAGGACTTGCGTCTTAGAACTGGATGAGGCGGGAGACGGCGAGGTGTGCGGACCCGGTGGGGATGACCTGCAGAAGCTGCAACGCCTAAGACCACATCAGAAGCTGCAAAACTGTAAAGCCCAAAGCAACTAAGGACAAATAGAAACCAAGGCTGATCCTAATTAAAGAGTAACGAACTAGAAAAGTTTCTTTCCACAATGTCATCCATACAAATGTTTGTGTGTGGCACCGAATAGGTGAGTCGTGCAAGGGTAGATCCCTAACCTGATCATGAGGTTGTGGCTAACGCATTCAAAGGCGTTGACAAAATCCCCATCCTTGACAGCATCCGTGCTTGTCTGGTGGTGGGCCGAACAGAGTCAGGTCGCGGCTTCCCAGGTCATGATCCACGATCGACGCACTGTCCCCGTGGACATGGAGTAGAGCAGAGACCTGCCAACGAGAACGCTGGGATGTTCTGCGAATTCCATGGAGAACTCGCCTTGGCAGCGCATCGTGGTCAGCTCGCCCCGGCCGGCAGTCTCCGACGAGCATACGCGTCGTTGTCGGTGCCTTCCTCCACGGCGAAGAGGAAGACCACGCGGAAAGGGCCCGCGAGGCAGTCGAGGACGAGGTGGTCGCACCTGTCCTTGGAGAGGAAGAGGTGCCCGGCCGTGGCGGCAGCCGAGGGCCTGCCAGGAGCCGCGGTCCGGGGCGACGAGGGAGAAGGACGAGACGGCGGTGGGGATGAAGCAGGGGCTGCGCTCGTCGGCCCGGTTGTGGGGGAACCCGAGCGCGGGGGTGCCGGGTGGAGCTCGTGGAGGCGGCGTCGGAATCCCCGGTGCGAGACGCTTGTGGCTCCAGGTCTTGCGGGCCATGGAGGCGCGGAGGAGGCGTACTGGGCCATCGGGCGGAAGGCGGAGGGGGACCTCGTCCGGCGGCGCGGCGGCGGCGGCGCCGCTGAGCTAGGTCTGGGTGCGGGTGCGGTGCGGGAGAGAGGGCACCGCGCCGCCGCCGCTGAGCTAGGTCTGGGTGCGGGTGCGGTGCGGGAGAGAGGGCGCCGCGCCGCCGCCGCTGAGCTAGGTCTGGGTGCGGGTGCGGTGCGGGAGAGAGGGCACCGCGCCGCCGCCGCTGAGCTAGGTCTGGGTGCGGGTGCGGTGCGGGAGAGAGGGCGCCGCGCCGCCGCCGCTGAGCTAGGTCTGGGTGCGGGTGCGGTGCGAGAGAGAGGGCGCCGCGCCGCCGCCGCTGAGCTAGGTCTGGGTGCGGGTGCGGTGCGGGAGAGAGGGCGCCACGCCGCCGCCGCTGAGCTAGGTCTGGGTGCGGGTGCGGTGCGGGAGAGAGGGCGCCGCGCCGCCGCCGCTGAGCTAGGTCTGGGTGCGGGTGCGGTGCGGGAGAGAGGGCGCCGCGCCGCCGCCGCTGAGCTAGGTCTGGGTGCGGGTGCGGTGCGGGAGAGAGGGTGGAGGAGAGGGGAGGGGGATGGTTCGGCTCAACCAGTTCGAGGAGATCTTTTTTACCGTGGTGTGCAGCCAGGCTCTGCTGCACAAACGCGCCGATCGATCGGTCGGTCGGTCGGGCAGTGGGAATTTTTCCAAAGAAGAGAAACATGACGGGGTTCCATCCATCGTCGATACTGTGGACTGAAATTCTTACGCCATTCCATTTTTCTGAAAGTTTTTTCCTGGTGAACATATTATGAGTGTTCTCTTCATACCCTTACAAAAGGATTCCCCTGCTGATCAAGATGATGTGCCGACTTAATCTCTCCAAGGTGCTTATAAGTGTAGAGTATGTGTATGTGTGCATAAGGGTGTGCATATGTATGAGTGTTTGCGTACGTACTCTGTTAAAAAATCCATGTGCGCATACATCGTCTCATCGCCAAAATTTAATTTATTAATTACTATTTCTCCATCTAAGTTTCCTAGAAATGTGGAAATGTTCTTTCTCCATGATCTTGGATACGCGCTGACGAAATTTATGTTTTGAGTAGCCTCTCGATTAAATGAAAAAAAATCGTACGTTCTTCGTCCACGAATACAATGCCACCCCACAATGCCATCGCAAAAAAAAAACATCTTGTGATCGACGGCTAACTTTGGCCATTAATTCTTGGATTTTCTCTTTGGATGTCAACTTTAGTAGTAAAAAAACGTCGGGGTCGGATTGCTTCATGCCACTCGTCTCGCACTTATTGTTTGGGAGAAAAATATATGGATATCACTACAATATATTATTAGATTCATAGTTACAAACCGTCTGGCTTGGTAAGCTACCAACGAAACAATTGAAAGATTTGTAGTTGAGAAAAAATTTGAATGATATATTTTCTAGACAAGTGACATGTAGTATTTTGTTGGTCAAATGGATGGTTAAAATATGGACCCAAATTATGAGGTGGCCTTGTACACATGGACAGAGGGAGTATGATTTCTTTTATAAATGGCGGTTTGGGAGGAACAGGTCCTCTAAAACCGAAGGGGCATGTTGACTAAATGGTGATCCGAAGGCGCTAAATCTATTATCAAAATTTGGATTCGAAACGATGTGGACTGCTCTCCAAATGAAGACTAGAATATATATGGAGGCATATGTTTGCAAATGAGAAGTGTGACACCTCTACGTATTTTCCAAAAAAGTAAAGATTATACCTCCTAGACTTTGCATCCGCGGATGCGCACCATATGATACGGTTGATGCAAGTCAACGAGACCAAAATCATCAGCAAAGAGTACACTAGATGGACAATAACTACAAGAAAATGACAACATATGAAAATTGCATGGACTCAAGTCGCCTTCTTCTACATTAACAACTTTAACAAGGGGGAATAGAATGTTCCTCTCTATAAGCATGTTGGTGTTTGCTTTGATGAGGTGACGTCACTTTAAGCACCGTGCGATAGAGATGAAGAGAGCTCGTTGGAATTGTTGGGCCTGGCCCATTTAATATTTCAGAATATTTTAAATGATTCATAGTTAATCCTAGAGGCTCACGTGGCTCATTCATGCATGAACAGGTGATGTGGTGCAGGAGAGGGATCACTGGCGGAGCTTAGGCAAGGCCGAATGGGCCGTGGCCCGCCCAGCCCAGCCGAAAATGGGGAAGGATGAGATGAAATTTGGGCCTCAAGTACAAGTACTATGTGTAATTCCTTAGTCCGGCCCGCCCAGCCTTTTTCCTGTAGCTCCGCCACTAAGAGGGATGATCAGGTTTGCGGGGAACACCCTTGCATGACTGCTGGATCCTTATTTTTGTTATTCATGATTTATTCGCTGTTTTTTTTCTGATCTAAACTTAATAGGAAATGTCCTCAAATATTGAACAGAACTTTACTTTGATGAGGTGCGGTCAGTGCATGTTGATGTTGGCACTTGGCAGGGCGCCGAACGCGTCGAGCTGGAGAACGGCATGGTTGACCGTGAATCGTGGGAGAAAGCAAGAC